GAAAACATAATAACCAATAGTATTTCGTTAATAAAACATGCTCCAGTGATCCGAATCAAATGAAATTGATACCATTCGACTCCTCGCCTCGAGAGGATTCGAATGGTACCAAAATCATCCAATTTAGACCACTGGATCAAATTTTAGTCAAATTCTTATAAAAAATTGTGTTATATTTTGGAAGACTCCCCTCTAAATATTGGAAAATTGTTATATTTTGGGGGACCCCCTCTCCCCCTCAAACATAACGTTATTTATAGATGCCCCTTAGCTCTGGGGACTGTATGAGCTTCAAACATAGTCAGTGGCAACAATAATGTATTTGTTGGATCGTGAAGTGACAGGTAATGGCCCAACTATATTAATGTATACTCTATAAAATGGGACTTTAATAGGTATTGGATGTAGTAATTCTTTCAATTTTTGATTTCCATATAGTTGGTAATTTTCACACATTCTTACATATTCTCAAAAATTGCGGTATATTTGGGTCAGTAATAGTATTTGTGAACTTTGTTGAACATAATATCCTTTTCAAAATGAGCTTCTGTGAGGTGATTATGAGTTAAAGTCAAAATTGACTTTAGCTCTTCTTCTTATAATACTTTCAGTAGGTTTTCTTAAGGCTTTATTGTGGGTATTGTCATTGCTAGAGGTAGATTTTCAATACCATGTATTGTTGAGACTTCATCATTGAATTTAATGTCTTATTTTTATTCTTTTTAACTTTTCATTTATAGCCAAGACACTGACAACCTGGGCTATATTGAGCTTTATGTCAGATTTAAAGCTGATCGATGTTTTTGCTTTTGCTTAATTGGTTGATCATTTGAATTAGTTTGAGTATTAATTAATAATCAGCTCTTTTTCAAATATTTTCACATATTTCTTTTAGCGGCTTTTTGGTTTTAACCCTTTTAATTTCATCAATATTTGGGTTTCTTAATTGACTCCAATTTCATTTTGATAGCAATATCCAACAATATATAAGTAGCTATGTGAGTATTTTTATTGAATTTGTTATTGCTGGAGCATTTTTCTTTCTTTATGTTTAGTCAATTTGTCCTTTCTCTTCCTTGCGATTATATTTTTAATTGCGTCGATAATGTTATAATAACTTTTCTTGTGAGTTTTTAAATCTTTTTTTCATAGTTGTGAATTCTTGGTCTACACTTAGACCCAAGTATTAGTATACTTCGTTGGCCTTTAATTTTTGTCAGATTCAACTCGATTTTTTCTTTTTAGACTGTGTTCATAAGTTGTCTTGATGTTTTTACGATCTTTTAGTAATAGTTTTCACCATATTTCATCAATGTTCGGTCTTTATTTAGATTCATAACAATTAATTCAATGCCTCTATCAGTAGTTTGTTAATTCTTCAATTAATTTTAACTTTCCAGAGTTTGTGTTTCTCGTGTTTTTTGTCATCTTTTAATTTGCTTGTGTCAATTGGTGTACAGCATTCTTATTGTATAGTTTGGTTCAATTCTTCGAATACTGTTCTCAGCAGTCCTTGTTAAAATTTAGTTTCAATATTACTAATAACTTACAGAATCTTTTAAATAGGGCCCTACAACTTGCTCTATTCCATTCTGACCATCCTCATTCTAGCATTAGGTCTGTATACAGAGGGAGAAAAAGAAAGAAGAAGGAAAGAAAATAATAATAATAATAATAATAATAATAATAATAAAACAGCCTATAGTAAAAAGAAATCTTAACAGTCTCACAGACTTGTAGGTCCATAAAACTTAATACTAAATGATTTAAAGTATAAGTATCAAAGAAAAAAGTCTTAGAGAGTGTTTTTTTTTTTTTTAGTTTTTACTTAATAGTTCTACCAAAGTTTTGTTCCAGCTATGTCTCATGTGAATTTTTAACTTTAATTAACTCTTGCAAGGTGGGTATTATTTCTATAGAGAATCATACTATTCTCAATCAATATATTCATCCATTGATTGGGACCATTCATCTTCTTTGAGGTCTATATTTAAGAAGTCCAAGAATGGGTTATTTTGGTCAGGCTTATTTCAATTTTCATTAAAGTGAGGGTAGGAGTTATAATTTTTAGAGTTATCAACGTTTTCTTTAAACTCCAGACCATTAGCTAACTCACCCTATCAGAGTATTTCAATTAAATAAGTTTCATCAATATTTATCAGTTGTAACTTATTTTCAGTGTAGTTAGTAATTGGTAAACTATCCTGGTATTCATTATCTACTGCCCAGGTTATTTCTATTTTTGTCTCCATGGCTAGTTCAATTAGAAGGTTCTAAAAATTTATTTCTTACACCATTACACTAGTAGTAAGTTTTTTGTCTCATTAATACTTTTGTTCTGTATTTTCATTAGTGCTTTCGGTGGTTTCATCATCATATTTCATTCACTTTTTTTGTACTAAGGTTCCAAGAAATAGTGTCTACTTCTTCGTCAGAACTATCAATGAAATAAGATAAGGCATCTATATTATTATGGACTCTTCCTGGCCTATAGACTATGTTAAAATGATAGGATTGAAGACAAAGAATCCATCAAGCTCTTCTCCCCTTCAAGGTGGTATTATAAAGCCATTTGAGAGCTGCGTGATCAGTAACAATGATAAAGGGCTTGTATTCTAGGTAATAATGAAAATATTTAATAGCCCAAACTACTATATAGCATTTTAACTTTGCAGCTACATAATTTTTTTCAGGTGAGTAAGGCTTTTGCTTGTATAGGCAATGGTATATTCTTTCTTGTTTTCATCTTTCTGGGCTAGCACTATTCTGAGCCCAAAACCAGACGTGTCAGTATAGAGGTAAAACGTTTTTTTGAAATTGGGATACCTAAGAACTGGTAGTTGTTAGATGCATTTTAAAGATTTGAAAAGCCTTTTCTTGCTCTTGGCTCTATTTATATTTTGTTCTTTCTTCAACAATTTATGTAAAGACTTTGCAATTGTAATGAAATCCTTAATAAACTGCCGGTAATATGAGGCTAGATTGATAAAGCCCCTTAGCTATCTTAGATTAGTAGGTACAGGGAAGTTTTTAACTTTTGAGACTTTTTCTTTATTTGGTCTAATTCTATCCTTTCCTACTAGTACATGGCCCAAAAATTTGATATTATTTTTTAGTAACTTGCATTTTTTTGAGTTTATCCTTAACCCAGCTGCTTCCAGCTTTACAAAAACTTTTGTTAGATGTATTAAATGTTCCTAGTAAGTTTTCGAATATATTACAATTTCATCTAAGTAGATAGCTACAAATTGACCAATATAATCTTGGAAAATATTAGTTATTGCCCTCTGGAATGTTGCCAGAGTGTTGTATAATCTGAAGAGCATAACTTTAAAAGTATAGGTTTCCTGCTTGGTTACAAAAGCAGTCTTTTTCTGGTTTTCTGGTTTTATTCAAATTTGCCAGTACTCACTGGCTAGGTCCAGAGACGAAAACCATTTGGCTTTTCCAAAAGTTTCAAGGTTGTCAATTCGAGTAAGAGAAATGCGTTCTTTTTTGTTACTGCATTTAGTTTTCTGTAATTCATGCATAGCTTTAAGTTTTCATTTTTTTTGGAAACTACAGTATTACTATGGGCGAGATCCAAGAGCTTTTGATTTCTTATATAAGCCCATTTGTCAGTAGCTTCTTAATTTCTTCGTTCAGAAAGTCTTGAATATCGAGGCAACTCAATAGAGATTTTGCTTAATAGGTCTCGCATTTCCAGTATCAATTTTATGCTAAGTTTCTTGGTACTAGCCTAGTTGATGTAATCTTACAGCAAAGAGTCCTTGGAATCTTCACAGTATTTTGGCTGCAGCTTCTTTTTGTTCTTCATTTAATGTTTTGGCTTATACTAACTTATTAACAGTTTCTTTTAGAGTTAGTTCAGGTTGGTTGCTTTTTTCTGAAATAGGAAGTTCTTCAACTATCGTTAAGTATATAGCAGGGTTATCGATATCACCTATTTAGCCATAGGTAAATTCTTCTTCTACTTTATTCGTATAGTAACTTTCTATTTCTTCTAAACTGTTTTCTTTTTTGTAGTAATCAAAGAAATCTTTATTTTCTTCTTCAATAATCTTGGCAGGTTTTATGATATCTTCTTTAGCCTGATAAATAGATACTTTCACACTTTTGCCCAAGTATTGAAGGGTGAGCTTCTTTTTGTCGAAGTAAAGGTGGGTGCAGACCTTTTGAAACTAGTCCAGCTTTAAAGGTATTATTTTCGATCACTTGAAAGTTAGTAGGTATAAATATATTTTGTATAGCCAATTTAACTCCAGTTAGTCTTTTTGTTTCTGGGCTCATTAGCCGTAATAACGATAGTATTGAAGGGTTTGGTTATGGTAAGGCCTAATTTTTTTGCTAGTTTCATAGAAATAATACTAACTGCGGCTCCTGAGTCTAGGATGGTTAAGATTGAATTGTTTGGAATTCTTGTATAGCATTTAGCCACTGTAGTTCATTGGCTAGTTTTATTTTTTGCATAGTTGGTGGCTTCGGTTGCTACAACAATTAAATGTCGTAGAGCTTGTGCAAGATTCTGTTTCTGCTTTGGGACCTGTAACAGCTATGCGTAGGTCGCATTAGCATGCTATTCTAGAAGGTCTGTTGCAATATTATATGATAGAGCTAAATTAACTACCAAAGGTGCTCTTTGACATCTAATTCAATTATTGGTTTCTAGTATGGGTTGGGCTAAAGTTTGTATTGGTGATAGAGTGATTTCTTCCATGGCAGTGGGAGCTAAAGTTTGATTAGTTTGGCTAGGCTCATGAGCAACCCTTTTCTAGAGTCGCTCATTCCATTGAGTCTTGTTTTCAAGTCTTTCTCATTGTTTAATGATGTAGGCTTTTTCTCTGGAGCTGAAGTTGTAAATTTTACATAGGCAAACATTTCTGGTTTGTAGTAAGGTAGTTGGAGTGTTTTAAAAGTCCATTCAAGGTTGTCGAAGATTTTGTCTAGGTTCAAAAGGGCAATTTCTAGCAATATGGCCTCTTTCTCTACAATTATAACATTTAATACTTTCATTTTGGGTAGGCCAGGGTTGGTATAATCAATGTTGGGGCTAGTAGGGCTTATTTCGACCCTTGCAGCTAAGGTTGTTGTAATTGGCAGCCATTTGCTGCATTTTTTAGATTAGATTGTCAATTAACTTGCTAGTAGATTTATTGCTACTTTTGCCTTCATAATAATTTCTGGTTTCAATTTTCCTTGCTTTAGATACTGTGGCTTCTAGATTTTCAAGTTTATTGGCAAACATTAGAGTGGCAGTTTTTCCATAAATGCCATCTATGAACATTTGTACTATATATGCATTAGGCATTTGTTTTTCTGGGTTAACTCTTTTCAACAATTTTTTAAATTGGTAGGTATATTTATTTACTTTTTCATTTGTTTTTTGCTTTAAAGAGATTGATTCTATCTGCCATTGGTATTTACACTCAGGAGTTATGAAATACTTAATAAAGGCTTGAACAAAACTATTGTTGGGATTATTTTTATTATCCCAGAAAATAAGGGTTTCTTTATGGTCATAATACCAACTTGTCACTATCCTGGATAAATGACCTGACGCAATTTTGATTTTTCTTGCCCTGCCTCGATTTTTTGCATTTGCAGCTCTTTTGAATGCCTCGATCCATTCAACTGGGTCTTCATTATCTTTGTTTTTGAAAGCTTTTACATGCACCTAATTGTTTTCATGTAGGGCCGGTAAGACATCATGGATAATAACTTCTCTAAAAGCTTGGGCTATTTTCCTTAAAATAGCATGAGCAGGTTGGTCTTGGTAGGCTGGGAAAATGTTGTGGTTAATAGGCTTTCTCTCAATCATTCTGTTATTCTCAAAATAGTCCAAATTTGACATTTTCTTATTTTTAATAATAATTAGATTTGTATATTTTGTTTAAATTTCTTTGAATTGATCAATTGGTGAAGTTCAAATCTTACAATAACCACCAATTGAAAGTGTGACTGGCTTCCTTAAAGCTAAAACTAGCTAATAATTATACTAGACTACTTAAACTATTTAAACTATAACTCTAATACTTCAAAAGTAATCCCAAGACTCCTAGAACCTTATAGTGAAAGACTTCGAATAGAGGCGTGAAAGACTTGGTTTGAGTTACAAGATCTTTTTGGGTCTTGTTAGTAGTTGCCGGGTTTAATATAAGTATCCTTTAGTCTTTATCATTCCTTTGTTGTTTCTATCGTATCAATATTTCTAACACTTAATATCCTTATCTCTTCTTATCCTAGCGTTATGGCTTTCTTGGTCACATGTGATGTTACTTCGATGACTGCAGCTCTTCAGTGATTCAAGATTTGACTTTAATCGGCATTATCGATTCAGATCATCAATTTTGACGTCACGAGAAAATAGATTGGCTGAGTTCGGATTTTCAATTTACTTCTGATGTCACGAGAGACTTAAGTCACGGGTAATTTGGATGATCAGTCGTTTTATTTGATAATTTCTGATAACAATAAGGTCACGGGGATGATCTTCTTAATTTACTATTAAGGGAAGTACGTAATTAGGTTTCTAATTCTTATGTTCTTTCGATCAAGACTTTTGGGTATTGTCAATAATTTTCAGGATACTAATTATGGAATTTACGTTTATTATAAAACTCTGTAGAGTTCTCCTTTATTAACATAAAAAGACATCGTCTTTTATAGTTTTTTACATTGCTATGGCTTTAATGGCTTAGTAACTAATTTCACATAGACCAACAAGTTTCTCTTTATCGAAAGATGAAGAAAATGAAATAAATGAAATAAATTTCATTTATTTCACTTCTGGAATTTTCTTGACCTTCGATCCTACCAAAATAGGTATCGAGGTCATAATTTTACTAATTTATGTTACTACCACCTTGTCTAACTATGCTAAGCTTACATTTTTGGTATGTAACCAATACAATGTTACGAAAATAAATAAAAAATAAATAAAAATATAAAAAAAATAAATTCGGAGCCACAGGAGCCCCTTACAACAGACAGATACCAAGTTATAAAATTGCATTATTGATTAGATACATCAAAACGTAACAATAGTATCA